GTGGCATCAGTGCCACGGGCTGGGAACCACGGCGGGGGTGGATCAAGGGTTGGACTGGATGATCTCAGAGGTCCCTTCCAACTCAGCTGATTCTGTGATTCTATGATTATGAATGAGTTTTATCTCTTTTTCCATGACTTTTCAGCTTCTGAGAATTGGTTTTGCTACAGAGGCTATAAAAATGTCTGAGTCATGTGTAGCTGAGCTGGTTGGTGAAGGATATCTCAGATGACCTCATCTGCTGCCTCTTGATTTCTGCTTCCCTTTGACACTCCTGATCACTGAATAAAAGTATTACAAAAATCTGATTATCATCTGTGCCATTAAGTGCAAGTTTAATTGCTGAGCAGAAGCAAGAAGAGTTGAGAAATTTGTTCTCCTGGTTTTTCTTGGAGCACCCACGTGACACACACGTGTACACACACACTCCCCTCTGCAGGAAAAGCAGCAATTGTTTGTAAATTTGGAGTTGCTTGATTGGGAACCTTCATCTAAGCACTGGTTTAGCTGTTGTGTATCAGCTCTCAACAGTTAATACAAGGCCAGCCTGGCTGCTCTCCTGGTGGAATTCTCGGGGCCGGTTCCTGAGGCTGATCCCAGCCTGGAGGAGATGGCAGTGCTGCTGGTTTGCAGTAAAATGGGATTATAGGGTCTTTTCTCTTTTATCAGTGGAGATGCTGGTTAATGCCAGCTAAGCAGCTTATGGTGCCAGAGGACCTGAAACCACATCTCGTGACTGGCAGGTTTCCTCACTCCGGGGTTTTCTTGGCCTGGGGCCTTGCTTAGGGAGGTGTCCTGCTGCCTTTTCCCTTTCCCTTCCCAATCCCACCTGATAAAGCTGCCAGACTAAACCTTGCCTGTCTCCATCACTGATTTTCTTGGAGAATAAAATAAGTCAACATGGACAGAAAAAGGCAAAGTCTTTTGTTCTTTTGTGCTTGGAAAAAACCCCCCTCATGGCTCCACAGCAAAAGCAAACAAAACCCCTCCAGAAATCCCAGCCCAGATCCCCCAGTGCCCCCAAACCCTTAACCAGGACCTGTCTCTTTTCCACCCTGAGCTGCACTTTGAAGAGGAAATCTGTGGTCATTGTAAAAATGGTCATTGTAAAAATGGGAATGACCGTTTTCTCCAGAGTAACAAGACAGTGAGTATTCAAACCAGTTTGGTTTTAAGTCTAAGTGAGAAGTAATTAATTATGCTACTTAATATTTACTTTAATAAACAAGTTTTAACCCTTATTTGCAGACACTGCCTTTCATCCCATCTTGATTTAATCAAGGCTTCAAGGCTGTCCTGGTGCCCATATAGTCTTTCTTGTATAGGTATATTTTCTCTCCAGAAAAGTTGCATTGCTTTGAAAGATTAACATCTCTTTCACCTCAAGTAACCAGAATTTTCTAGCAAATGGGCAATTAACAGCTATTAAGAGGTTCTAAAATACCACTGTTGGAAGAGTCTTTGTCAGGTTTAGTTATTATTGCAATTACAGTAGACAGGAGCTGCTGGCATTTCCTGAGCAGCATTTGAAAGGGAAACTTAAGGAAAAAACCCAAACCCTACTTTTTTTTCTTTCTGATATAAACCAAACTGTGTTTTTTCAGTGTCCATCAGCTGCATTTCCACCTCTGTTGATTTACTTGAACATCTCATTACCTTACTTTTGAAGTAACCCCTCTGTGCAGTGGGTTTTGCTGCTTCAATGTGCTTCTTGCTGCAGAAAATTCCACTTTCTGTGATTTTTAAAAGGCCATTTTTCAGGTTCTGTCTTGTACTTTCACCTGTATCTGAGCTGGTGTCACCCACAGGTGTTTGTGGCTTCATTTTCTGTTTGAGGCTCAGGAACCCCAGGCTGCAAAACTTGCTTTGCTGCAGAATTTTCTGTGCTGTCCTGCAGGAAGTTTATGTTTAAATCCTTTAAATGCTATTCTTTAGTCCTGGAAATGGCAAATGTGTGGATGATGATGGGCAGGGAGGGCTAATTTAAGGAGCAAATGGGGGAAAATTGTACTGTAGTGACCCATCTGGGAAAACAAAAAGGGAACTCGTGGGCTGTAACATCTTCCTGTTCCTGTGCCAAAAGAGTAGTGAAACTCGTTAAAATGCACCAGTTTATCCTGAAGCTGTTGCTTCAACATCATCAGGCAGATGACTTGGAACATCCCTGGAACAACTGGGATAATTTTGGGTGGGGATGTTCAGCAGAAAGAGCTGTTTCTGTCTGAATTAGACTCACTGAAAGGCAGGTCCTTCACTGTCCATCTGGTCTGAGCTTCCTGGATTCTTTTATTTAATAATGAGTTATTTTCAGAAAAAGGATTCAGTTACACAGAGGTAACTGCAAATTTACACTCCTTGAGGAAGCCCAAGTCCTGTCTGCAGTGGGTGTTCAGCTGTTCTACTCTGCTCCTTACCTGGAGCACAGGTGTACTTTGTTCCCAAAAAATTCCATAGAAATGGCTGTGAAATGGGAAAAAACCAAAGGTTTCAATTTGCTACTAATGATTGAAGATCACAAGAGAAGAACGAGAAAATAATCACAGTATTCCTATCCTGAAAGAATTTTAAATACCTTCGGCTTTATATTTAAATGATAGTCTGTTAATTATTGGGGAGGATTGATGAGAGCTGGTGAGTCATGAGCATGAAAGGGAGCCCAGGCTGTGGGGTGGTGTGAATGTACACAGATCTTAGGGAATAAAAATATCCATCTTCAGTTCCAGGAGCCATTGATGCCAACGACACCCTGATGTCCCAGCTGGATTACTGAGAACTCTGGTGACTCCTGGAGGTGCTGCTGTTCACATAAGGAATTGTCCTCAGTCCTTGGCCTTTCATCCCAGCAGCATCTGTTTGGGTGCTGAATGCAAGTCCTGGACATTCTGGAAACGATGGGGATTGGCAAAAACACCACCTCGAAGTCGGTGGAGGCGGGAGGCTCCACGGAGGGCAAATACGAGGATGAATCCAAACATCCCGCCTTCTTCACCCTGCCTGTAAGTACCACACTCCAGCTCCACGGAGCCAGGCTCAGTGTGAATCAGGCCATAACGTTCTAGTCATGTTGTACAAACCCCTCATTGCCACAAGCAGTTGGTAACAAACCTCTTTTGCCACTGGATGGTGTTTACACGGAAACACGGCCAGTTACCGAGTGTGGGTGTTCCCTGTGTGCTCCCGAGCTGGGCTGCTCCCAGGACAGGCAGCACTGCAGGACTGGAGCAGTTACCTGTCCTCCTGCAGCATGGGCACGAGCCCCTGGTATGGAATCGTGGAATCATTAAGGTTGGAAAACACCTCCAAGATCATCAAGCCCAACCTTTAACCAAATCCCACCACATATGTCACGAAGTCTGCTTGATTTCTGAACACCTTGAGGGATGGGGATTGCACCCCTGCCCTGGGCAGCCTGTTCCAGTATTTAAACACTTTTTCAGTGAAGAAATTTTCCATGATATCCAACCTGACCCTCCCCTGGCACAGCTGGAGGCCGTTCCCTCTCCTCCTGTCCCTTGTTCCCTGGGAGCAGAGCCCGACCCCCCCCTGGATCCCCCCTCCTGTCAGGGAGTTGCAGAGCCAGAAGGTCCCCCCTGAGCCTCC